TGACGATGGACTGAGGGATGCCAAATCGGCATATGATGTTTCTCCATATGAAGTGCTCTATGTCCGTTTAAGTTGTGGTCATCTTGGGCTCTGCTTCTACCCATTTGGTGAAGTAGTCTGTTGCCACGATCATCATGCCTCTGCCCTAGTAGCAGGCGGCATAAGTCCTACCAGGTCGATTGCCCACTGCATGAATGACCAATGACTCGTATGCAGGTATAGCTCGCTGGTATGTAGTGCTGGTATCGGCTTGTAGCGTTGGCAATGGTTGCACTTTTGTACTAACTCCGTAGTATCTTGGTACATGGTAGGCCAATAGTAGTTTGCATTAAGAGCCTTATGTATTAAGGATCGACCTTCGGAGTGATTTCCATAAATGCCTTTGTGGATTGAGCTTAGAACCTTCAAGTTATCGAGATGCACTAGACAGCGGAGATGTGGTCTGGTGTAGAATCTTCGGATGAGAATGCCGTTCCACATGTAGTAGCGTGCTTCCTTGATTTGCAGCTTCCTAGACTCCAATCTTTTCGTGGGGAATATGCTATTGACTAGGTAGTCTACAATGGAATCTTGCCAGTTTGGAGTTGTACGAACCTATGAAACCTCGGATGCTGGCTTTGCCTTTATGCTTGGCTTGTCTAGATATTCCTCCGAGATAAAGCGTTTGAGTTGGTGGTCGAGGGCAAAGCTTAGGCTGGCTAGTGCATCCACGTGAGCGCTGTCTGCCGTCGAGTCTTTTGCCATTCGGAGGCCTGCTAGTAGGGTTTCGTACTTTGTTTTGTTGTTGGGTACTTTGAAGTTTAGAGTGATCGCCTGTTCAAGTATTAAATCGTCTGGGGTGACAAGGACTACGCCTGCTCTCGAACCTTTGTAGTCAGATGAGCCATTGACATGCAAATGCTAGAAGTCTCCATCGGGTAGAGTAGGCGCGGCTAGGGCGGGCTCGGCTAGCTTTGGGACGTTGTTGGGCTGCTCTATTGCGTTGTGAATGCATGGTAGGGAGTTGTGGAGCTGGGGCAATGTTACACGTAGCAGAAGATGCTTAATTGCCGGTATTGGACTCTTCTAGAGTTAAATTATGGAGCAAAGGTCGGCTAGGGCCGTGTGATACGCAGTAGGAGGTAGTGCTCAACTGCCGGTACATGTTGCTTCTATGTAGAATCTTTTGGGGCGACGAGGACGAAACTTGCTTCTGAGTATGTCTTTCCAGTGTTCGTTTGCCTTTGGCGTGTCTTTTGGGCCGAATTGTTGCGTTTGTCAGAAAACTTTACATCCACCAGGGTCTACACCTTTATCGTTACGTGTCTGGATTGGGCAGAATAATGCGTCATGAGGATGGCTGCATGCGTTTAAAGGTAAAACTTGAGCTTTGGGGTTGCAACAACTATCACTAAAGTTAGCTTTTAAATTTCTGATAACATCGAGTAGAGCTTTTGAATTATGGAATACAGGTAGTCGGGCCCCCAGCTCTTCTCGTATGATGGTAGAGCTTATTGCTGCTTCAGATACCATCAAACATGTGAATAAGTCCTCTTTAACTTCCAGTTTGGATAGTAGAGAGGTGATGTCGGATACTTCTTCAAGTCCTTGAATGTGTATTGGCGAGCGTTGTCCCAAAGTACATGCTTCTCTACCAGAGCGAAAGAGTCTGCTAGAGTTAGATCTTCTTTCATGATCAATTTTCTGAATAGCGGGTCGTCTGCTTGAAGTCCTTTTTGGAAGGCTGCTCTAGTTATCGAGTTGTTGCATCCGACTATCCTTGCCTTCTCTGCTTTGAACCTCTTCATATAGTCATGAAGCAACTTTTTTGGGTTTTTCTTGACGTTGAACAAATGGTCGGACTTCTTTTTGATTGAGTGATAACATGAATATTCTTTGGTGAAAACCAAAGAAAGTTCGTCAAAACTCCGGATAGATTGTGGCGGCAGGGTGTAGAGCTAATCTTGCGCCTCGCCTTGTAGAGTGGTTGCGAATATCTTGCACATGAGATCGTTATTGTTTCAATAAAGGATCATTGGGCTTCGGTAGTGTTTTAAGTGTCTGTCCGGGTCTTCATCCCTTTTGAAAGATGTGAAATGTGGCATGCTGAACTGGTATGGAGGCTCTGCCCGCTCGATCGGTCTCTGAAGGGTGACCTGCTTATGTTGGTTATGTTCCGTCGTAGTGCCTTGTTGGTGACCTCGTTACGTTGGAAATTGCGCAATCCAAGAATCTCTCTACTTCTTCTTGAATTTTCCTTTGTTGGGGTAGCGGAGCTCTCGGCTGCCCCTAGTCGTGACTTGCTGGTTTAGGCTGCTCTTCTATGTGTTTGGCTCGTCTATGCCGTATATGCAGTGTGTGTGATGTGTTCCTAGTAGGCAAGCAAGTTCTTCGTAGGCTGTTGGTTGAACTTGAGCTAGATTAAGTGACTGCTTCTTTCCGTTCGTTGCGCTGCTTACTCCGATATAAGGTGAATGATACTCATTGCGGGCTTAGCTGCCAATGAACATTTTGCTTAGAAGGTTGCTCATGTTGACTATCGGAGTGTGACCTCAATCGTGAATGTACACTCGTCCGTGGGCCTAGTCGAGAGTGCAGGCTCCTTTACGCACTAAGACGGGAGTATGCGCTATCACGAGGGCCCAATCGGGAGTAAATTGCCCGAATGCTCGGTTCGTGGCTGGTCGAGTGGCTGCTTGCTGGGACGTTGCTGGAGAGGTTCTTTATTTGCCCTTGTCCTACTTCGAGACACCTCGTTTGGGTCACGTTGCATCTCGATGTGCTGTAAGAGCTGGTTCACCAAGGTCGTCAGCTGTGCGAGGGTGCTCGTCAACTTTATGACTTGTTGAGACAAGTGTTTTTCTCCATTTGGGTTGGAATAGCTTGGAAGGAATGCATCTCCTTGAGCAATGGAAGTGTGGTAGACTCCGGGCACAACATTTGAGTTAGGAAATGTCAAATTCGTAGAAAAATGTGGTGAAAATGCTCCCAGTTCGATCGTCGGTCCGAAAATTTGAAGCTGGGATGGTTGAACTAATCTTGGATCGATTTGGGCTGCTTGGAAGGCCACATGAGCAGACGGGGTTGTGAGAGCAGGCTAGGCCATGAGAGTGGATTGCTCGGCGTGTGGCGCATGTGGGTGCGAGGCTAGGGCTCAGCTTGGCAACGCTTTGGGCTTGGAGTGACATGGCTTGGGTTGTGGTTTTGGTGCCGTGGGCCTTAGATGGCATGGCTTAGGCTTACTTAGATGGCACGGCTTGGCCTGTGGTGGCTGTGGTGGCCACCGCGGTGGTTACCATGGTGGAGCCCCGTAGCGGTGGTGCCGCTCCACCTATGATCACATATAGCCTTGTGAATAGCCGAGGTCCCATTTCTTGAATATTGGAATTTTCACTTGGGGAATTTTCTAAATTTCTAGCCATTGTATTTCTCTTTTATGTTTTATCAAAGAATCTTTGCAAATATAAAATTCTAATAATAAGAATGTACGAAAAATATACAAATGGACAAGAAACAATAGAGAAAAACCTTTTATGCGAGAGTTTTCTACGAGTGTGTGTACTTCAACTCTTAATGAAAGCACCAATTTGTGGATGCAAATATCTTCCTCCTTGATCTTGGATAAAATTGCTCCTACAAAACAAATAACACATTTGGTCAAGGCCAACAACCACACTCGCGCACGATGATTTTTTTTTGGGGGGGGGGGTGGCTTGGCTGTAGAACCTCTGATGCCAAAGTTAGAATTTTAAGAGAAAAGTGTTTGGAGAATTTTTGAATGTTTAGCAAGAGTCAAGACCTAGGTTTTTAGAGGAAAGGAGGTTGAATATATAGTGCATGGCCGGTCCCTCTCTTGAGAAAAGGTGGCCGGCCCTTTGGGGTATTTTTGTGTGAAATGAGTGATTTAATTGGTAATTAATGGATTAATTAGGAATAAATCCATTAATTAGCCAATTGACTCAATTTATATGGAATGTTTTGAAGGTTATGAAATAATTATCTTGTGGAAAATATAGGATGAGGATGGATGAAATAACTTTGAATTTGTTACCTATTTTGGGCACTTTTGACTTGATTGTGGGATGTTTGTCCACTGCTCACGCGTAGGAATTCCGGTGCTCCTCAAGGGTAATTTTGTCCTTTTTGCCCAAAAATCCACGTGTCGCCTCTTGATTATTTTTGGCTCCACAAAACTGTCTCTTTAGAGAGTGATGTATATTTTACTTTGCTTAGAAGTTTGCTGTCTAGGTCAATGGTGTGAACTGGCATTTCCATTGTAGGCTGTTGCTTCTTAGGTTTGTAATTTGCAAAATTTTCATAACGACTTGTGGCCCTAACGTTTAAAAGCGTTTATTCTTGCACCTGAGGTTCTGTGTTTTGAATTCCCCCATGCGCCGCGATATGGTTTGTATTAGAACAAAACTGTAAATTTTGATATTCTGTTGGCTTGGATGTAAGCATACATGTATAGTAGAGTGGACAAAATCATATGTTCATCAATAAGCATTTATTCTTACATCGCTATTGCAAGTCCAATGGTTAGTTGCTCGTGGTAAATTGGAGAACGTTGATTGAATCAGCTGCTTAATTAATTATTGGCCGCACCAACATTTTGTTTAATTATTTGCATTCACTATCTAAATTTTCAGATCTTTCACAATAAACCTTTGGATTCTCTAATACCAAGTGGAAATTTATTTTTTAAAATCTTAGAGGGGTGTATCAAATTAATCAGTGAATATATTTTTTAGGGAGTTTACTTGACTTCTATATAATCCAAGTGGATTTGATTGAATTCTACATAGATTTTAATGGAGCACGTGAGACTTTTATCATGGATTTTATAAAAATACATTAATTATCAGGGATTCTTAAATGATCAGTTTATTGAGGGAAAGGATAAATATACACACCATTTTTAACTTCTTACATATTCCTGTTTAATCATGACTGCTGATTTTGTTTGATTTATTCAATCCAATGGTTAAAAAAAAAGGATGTATGAAAAGTTAAAAGATGTGTGTAAAAATCACTTAAAAATGTGTAAGAAATCACTTCTCTTTTTCAATAAGCATTGCTATTTTCAAATTGAGGAATGCTAGCTATCTTCATTCTTCCCCCCTTACCGTCTCCAATTTACCTTTTCCACACATCAAACCACATGAACTCCACTAGCACTTAAAACTAAGTTCTTAATGCCTTACGAAACTCATTATTCTTTTTCCGATATTACCCTTGTTTTTTAAAAGCTAACTTCTCTCTCCTACCAAATTCAGCCCGTAATTCTGTTTATAAATGGAAAAAAATGATTTTTTTTTCTTCCTAAAACCTCAAAATAATCGCTTAGTACTATGATCTAGTGTTATTTCTCTTTACTTGTATGTGAGAGGTCTTTGGGTCGATTCTCGACAAAGGCGAATTTGAACCACATAATTACTAGCCTATTGCGAGACTAAACACACCACACTCCATTCAGGTAGATAAAATCGTTTGTTAAAAAAAAAAAAAAACCCAAAATGAATTGTATTATAAAAGGAAAAAACAACCAAAATTGGTTATGTGGTTGTATATGTTTTCACTTGGATTCAATGACTTACCAAGAACAAAAGAGAAGAACATATATGAATTATTGAACATAAAAATAAAAAAAAAAGCCCACATCGATATACGGGTAAATAAGCTAAATTAAAAAAAAAAAAAAAAAAAGTAATTAGCTTTAATGGAGTCAAATTTAAATTTTTTTATGTTTCTTTTGCAAGATCTCAAGTTCTATTCATGTTACAAAAGCATACTTATTACGTTTGTTTTTTCCTTTTTAAAATTATGGGAGGCTGTGACAAGCAAGGCTTTCGTATGAAGCAAGGAGTGTTAACCACAGGCCGTGTTCGCCTTTTGCTCCATGGAGGTATGTTATTTTATAATCTACCAATTTGTCTGTGATAGAGAGAGGGAGATGATTAGCGAGATGGGGGCAGTTGATTGAGAATTCCGGTTGTTTCCTCTATATTGCTAATTTGTAGACCTCTTGGTTTCAACTTTTGGGCAATGTAACTGATTGATGTATTTTGTTTGCTTAGGAACCCCATGCTCCTGTGGGTATGGAAGGAGGAATGGGGAAGGAAGAAGGAAATCTGTTCGTGGATGCATCGTCATTGTTAAAAAAGGTGACTCAGACCTCCCTGGACTGACTGATGTTGAAAAGCCAAGAATGAGAGGTCCAAAGAGGGCATCAAAGATCCGAAAGTTATTTAACCTCACCAAGGAAGATGATGTGAGGAAGTATGTCAACACTTACCGCAGAACATTCACAAACAAAAAAGGTGGGTCGGTTTTTTGTCTGTTTATAAATTTGGTTCCACTCAACAGAACTAAAGTAACTTGGAGAGAATTCTGCTACCTAGGCAGTCAATATAAATTTCATATTTAATATTAGTTCGATACGAGCCACTATTTTATTTTTAAGTGCTCTCTAATTTTTTTATGGTTTGCCGGCAATTTTTTATGGTTTGCCGGCAAGGAGACGAGCAAAGCTCCCAAAATTCAGAGACTGGCAAAGGCAAAGTCAGAGGTAGCAGAGTACCGAAAGCTCCATGCTTCAAGGTCGAAGGAGCAGCGAGAGCGCTGTAGTGAGAGCTTAGCCAAGAGGAGATCAAGACTCTCTAGTGCTTCTAAGCCATCTGTTACTGTTTAGATCGCTGGAGCATGTGAGGTTTTTATCAATGAGTTAAGAGCGGAGGGGCATCATAGATGGTTTAAGGTATTTTAGGTTGTTTACGATGGATGTCGAACATGTTGAAGTGGTTTGACATTTCCAATTTTGTTGCGGTATTCATGTTTGATTGTCTCTCTCGGTGTTTCTCAGTTGTCCTCTATTGTGCAATCTCTCTTGGTTATTATTCTCTGTATGCATGAGATGAGATGACTGTAACGTTAGATAGCATATGCTCCTTGTTCATTTTTTTAGCTGATCGAAGTGGGGAACCCGTAGCTGCATTACCATGTAGAGTATCGGTCTCTTTGGCCGCCGTTGATTTTTGAAAAATAAGAAGTGGCCGAGAAGAAAATTTCTGTTTAGGAAAGGGGGTTGGCCCTTAATTGTGTTATGGTATAGTGTTATTTTGCGTCTGTTATGTGGGAGTATTGATATGGTATGGTGATATCTTGGCACATGGAATTCACCAAAATAAAAGGTCAAGCAAGGAATATGTGAAAAATGTTGCTTTCTGCACAATGAAGAAAAAATGGGGTTGTCTTCAATACTTTTTAGTTTGGGACTAGTCCGTGAAATATAAGGTGAAGATTGAAGAAAAGTTTCTCAGCTTCGCTGCTCATTTCTCCTATCTTTTTAGTAGTCCAGGACTATTGAAGCCATTTGTTCTTATTTGGCAACGTATCAATATTTTTTTTTTTGAACAAACGATATTATCTACACTAAGGAGAGGGAGGTGGGCTTAGCTTTACAATGAGTTATCAATAATGTGGTTTAAATTTGCCTTTAATGAGAATCGAACTTAAGACCTCTCAACTGTCATAGTTTGAATCGTTCTTTATCATGACGCTAAGGTCGTTTTTATAAAAAATCATTTAATCTAAAGAATGTTTACTATCGTCAACTTGTTTGACAAAGTGGTTTCAAAATCAAATGAAACTATCTCAAAATTAAATGAAATTTTCTAGAGATGATGTTTAGACATAATACAGAGGAAGAGTTGACCAAACGGTTTCAAAATCAGATGAAACGGTCTCAAATTAAATGATACTTTTTAAGAGACCGGATGTATTCAATTTTGATTTTAATGGATTTATAAATCCATGGAATTTAATTCATTTTTTAGAGATTCTATGAATTTTTTTATTCAATTCTCTTGAAATTTTAGAGGGAGAGATGAGATTTTTTAATGCTTAAAATACACCACGAAATCTCTTTGTTCTCTCAAATTCCTCAACTTTTAAAAAATAAATTCCTAATTGAATGCAGATGGAATACTATAAACTTTTTTAAAATCCTAATTGAATACACTCAAATTTCTAAAAGATTTTAATAAACTATCTTAAAATTCTGATTAAATACACGTTGAATTTCAGACAATCACTTAAAATCGTGATTGAATACCCTAAATTTATTAAAAGAATAAAATTCCCCAAATTCTCAATTAAATACAACCCCAGAAGTTTAGATTATGACATTTGTATAGTGATTTGATGTCACGTCATCTCATAAAGAGGAATGACTCTTTTCAAAGCGTCTTAGCTGATTTTTTTTATTTTTTTTTTGGTAGAAAGTACTTCATAGAACCAGCAAGGCCCAAGGCCAAGAAACAAACAAAAGGGTGCCCAACACACCCAGAAACAAGAACAAGGAAGAACGGGAAACATCAAACGCCGCCACAAAGGTTCTCAGTGTCTTCCCAGATACCACAACAAAACACCCCCTACGGAGGACATGGAAGACCATCTTTGTTTAGAATACCCACAAGCGAAGATGAAGGTGTCACCACCCAGCCTGAGTTGCACATCTCCGGAGACAAGTTCCTCGCGACAAAATCTGCTGCCATATTTGCTGATCGTGGAGACCATGACCGAGAGCATGATTGAAAACTCCTCCCGACCTCGCATCTTAGCTGATTTGGCTCATGCTAAATTTGTTCAAATCCGTCAGGGTGATAATGGTGTGGCTCATAGACTAGCCAAGATGGATTTTATTATCAATTTAAATTGTACTTGGTTTGACCAACTTCCGTAATTTATCCAGGATATGAACAAGGATTGTCTGCCCTCCCGTGCCCTCCTGTTTGTGTAGTCAAGGTTAAGCCACGTTAACATTTTATATTACTATTCATTTTTGTCATATTATCTCTAGGAAAAAAAATATAAAATATTGACGTGGCTTAACCGTGACCACACAAAATAAGAGGGCATCGGAAGTGGGAGGGCAGACAATCCTTGTCCCCAGGATATTCTTGTTGATGATATTTCTTCTTAATTATCAATAAAATGCTATCGTTTTGCTTAAAAAAAAAAATTGAAGTAAAAAAGTGGAACAATGGAACAATGTGCTTATGAGAAAACAATGTCCTTATGGGAAAGACGAAATATCAAAATTTAGGGTAAAGTACAAAAAACTACCTCAACTATTGGTGTTACGACACTTTCATACCTCATCTTTTAAAATTGACAATGACATACCTCATCTTACGAATTTGTGCCAATGTTATACCTTCCGTTAGCTTGACATGAATTTCTCAGTTAAATGCTGACTTCTATTAAACAAATTAATAAAATATTATTAAAAACTAAAACAAAAATCATTTAATAATTTTTAAATATTAAAATAATAAAGACAAGTAAAAAAAAATATATATATATATATATAAATAAAAAAACCCTCACGTCCCCTTTCCCTAACACCCCCCCCTTTTCTCTTTCTTCTCCCCCATCTTCATCTTCTTTCCCATTCCAGCCCTTCCAGCAACCCAGAAAAAGAAGAAAAAAAAAAAAAAAAACCAATTTATCTTCCTTCCCCCCTCCCACCCCCCCCCCCCAAAAAAAAAAACTCGCGATTTTCTCCGACCCCCCTTCCGTTCTTCCCCTCTCCCGTCTTCCCTAAACCTGCACCCACTACTTACAACCCAAAAAAAAAAAAACCCAGATCCCGTTGAGGTGGAATTGGAAAACCTTCGTGATGGGGTAGGAGTGGTGGATTTGGGGTTGGCAGGGTTTGGGTTTTTTGGTTGGGGGGGGGGTGTGGTGGGAACTGAGTTTGGTTCGGGGTTTTTTTTTTTCCTCCTTCTTCTTTCGGGGTTGTAGGGGGTTGGTTTTTTTTTTTTTTTTTTTTTTTTTTTTTTTTTTGTTTGGGGGGGGGGAGGAACTGGGTTTGGTTCGGGTTTTTTTTTTTTTTTTTTTCCTCCTTCTTTCTGAGTTGTAGGGGTTGGGTTTTTTTTTGTTTGGGGGGGGGGGAGGAATTGCTTTGGTTTGGTTTTTTTTTTTTCTTTTTTCCTTTTCTTCTTCCTGTTTTTCTTCTTTCTGGGTTGCATTTTTTCTAACTGTTGTTTTAATATTTAAAAATTATTACATGATTTTTTTTTTTAGTTTTTAAGAATATTTTATTTATTTTTTAATAGAAAATGGGTCCCTGGATCAAGCCACATCAGCATTTAATTGAGAAATTGACGCCAAGCTAACAGAACGTATAACGTTAGCACAAATTCGTAAGATGAGGTATGACATTGTCAATTTTAAAAGATGAGGTATGAAAGTGTTGTGACATCAATAGTTGAGGTACTTTTTTGTACTTTACCCCAAAATTTAATTCATTGAAGGCATTTAAACAAACACTTGTCTCATTTGTTCATGTCTTTATACAAACGTTATGATTCCTTCAATTCTCTTGCATGTGTTGGCAATCGCAGGATGATGACTATTAACCACCCGGCAATTTGTTCTCACCTCCCCAGCCTGCTCAACCTGTAAATCTCCCATCTTTATCATCCCCTCAACAAATGCCTGAAAAACTCTTCTTGGTCACTGCTAAACTGCTCCACAAATCCCTTCGTTTCCGAAAATGTGAAAAGCGTTTGATCCGAATTGAGAAACCCTCTCCCAGAAACCAAGTCCTTGAAGTACTGGTTGTCGAACACTACAGGCGTAGCATCTAGGTCTCCGGTGACGTTCTGGTCCACGTTTAAAGGGCAAAGCTTGTTTAGCTTTTCTGCAAACTTTGGTTCAATGGAGGGGTCTGGCTGGCCAGTGTTGGATTGGTTGTATAGCCGAAACATGATTGAGAAACACCGAGCTTGGCCAATGGAATGAGACCCAGAAAGGGCAACAAGATCTTCAGCCGAAAGATTAAATTTGGCAAAAAGGTCAATGAGGAAGGTTGCATTGGCTCTTGGACTTGGCATAACGTTGTCTGAGGCTTCCTGGCTAGCTGATAAGCTATCCAATCTTCCTAACTTCACTTCCCAATCAGGCCCTCCAGTCTGTTTAACACAAATTATGTCATTACATCTTTATAGATTGTCGATTATACAAGCGGGATTTGATTGAGACATCTTCTAACATTGTGAAGAGAAATTTATTAAATCGAGCAATTAGTAGTATTTTGATTTGTGTAAATAGAAGAGAGTGCAATACCAGGGCAACAGCATCTCTAGAGGCCATGATTATGATGTCTGCACAAGAAACAACTCCTGGACAGACCTTCTCTACGGCTTCTTTTGCTTCATCAACAACCTCGTAAGATCTCAATGAATTTATGTTTGCAAGGGCTAGTTTTTCTCCAAGGATGGTTGGTGTGTCGTCAAGTAACATAGATGCATCACAACCCTATATTATATGAATGTTAAATCGATCAAAAGGGAATATAGTATTTGTGTATTTAGTTTTTGCTTACATTGACAAAGCAATCATGGAATTGGAAGCGCATGACAGAAGCAAGGCTCCGGGGCTCTCTGATCAGAGCCTCCTTCATGACATCTCGAACCACAGATTCAGCCTGCGGGCATGTTTCGGAGTAATAATGAGGTCGGAGTTGCACGGCGGCCCCGATTATTATGTACTGTAGGAGGAAGAGAGAAAAGAGGGAAGTCATTGAAGTTTTCGGACAATCCTCTCTAGTAGGCAGATTTGTGTATAAATTGGTTCAAATTAGAATTGCACATGGGGCTTTATAAACTTGTTGGATGCCTCATTTGCATGTATGGAAAAAGGGAAATAATTAAACGCCCACTGTTTTTCTCTTTCTGGACACCTTACTTTAAATTAGTCATTTGATTGAACAAATCGAAAGAAATTAAAAGCCATAATTAAATATGTGTGGTGAAAAAGAACCGTATAAAA